TTTCGTCCCGATATCGACAGCGACACAGACGGAGGTCTTCCGCACTAAGATATCAATCTGGATCAGAACTGTCATACTACGGGCCTACAAAGCAGCAGAACTTGATCCTCCAAGAGCCTCCAACCCACATGAAGTTAGAGCTCTGGCGTCAACACTTTCGCTCTACATGGGAATTGCTCTATCAGGACATAATGGAGGGCTGCTTCTGGAAATGGGACATACTGTTTGCCAACCACTACCTGAGGGACATCGTCACCGAGGGCGTCTCTGGCATTCACCATTTGGCCCACTTGTTGTAGCACAACAATTGACAGTCCGACAAAGCTGAGGCAGTCTAAGCCCTTTATCACATGACTTGCAAAAGCCTACACTCAGGAGAGTTCAGCTTTAGAGTCATGCACGCGTCTAGGACAGACTAGCATAAGTGATATGACTCAGTACTTGTAAGGACATACTTTACAGGAAAGGGTAAACTTCTCCACTTGGTGCTCGCGCATCAAGAGATGGAGTTGCAAAATCCACATAAAATATTAACAGAAGCAAGGACCAAAAGTTAACAATTGTGGTCCCCCCATCAGAGAAAGCTGGAAGTGAAGGGTTACAGCAGCAGCAGAGCCTAGCAGTAAAAGAAGTGCTACCAGGAAGTTCCCATAGGGGGTATGTAAGACGTAAATCACTACATGGAATCCAGAAGTGGCTTGACCCACCACCAAATCCGTCGGATTCTACAAGCAAATAAGCATGAGTCAGGATAAGGGAAAATATGTAATTTTCTGAATAAAATTGATATTTTATAGTTATCCTGACTCATGAAGTAAGCCCTCCCAACCTCCCCGCTAGACACTTTGGATTTCCCTGTAAATTCAAGTGTCGGGCTCATAATTCGGAGAGAGTGAAGCATGGGAGTACGGTGGTGCCGCTTTCCCGCCAAAACGGCCAGACAGATAACTCTTGGTGAGTGGTGATTTTGCGTCTCTTTTTTATTGAAGGGGAGCTTCAATAGGAGATGCAAGTGTTCCACTAACGTTCGCAAGAGGAAGGAGACAAGCAAATAAGCATGAGTCCGGATAAGTATAAAATATCAATTTTATTCAGAAAATTACATATTTTCTTCTATTCAAATTTTATAAATTTTAAAAAAAAGTAGTGGAGCATGAACTTTCAATTTGGATAGGAAGAATAAGTGTTAACAAACTTTTCGAAGACTGACATCTTATGAATGCACCACCATTTCTCTTTATCACCACTCTTTAACACATCGCATGGGATGCATGTGCTGTAAGCAGTAGCCCATGGGGTGTCATTCTTGATTTTGACGTTTTTCAAGAAGGTCGATAAATTGCTGTAGACTATTAATTTTGACAATCATCTTTCCTCACACAGTTGTTAGTGTTTGTTTCTAGCCATTTTTTTGTTTGGAAATTAAAATCGTACACATGCAAATTTTCACGTCATACACCAACCACTTTCAAGAGCGATTACTGTACAAACAACTATGGTCATAAGGAAGTACAAGTGGCGATGCACTCTCAAAGCATTCATTATTATCATATCAACATTGATTGACTCTAATGTATATCCTAATTTTTTCAAAAGTAAATTAAAAATGAAGTTCACCTTTTTATAAATAGTATATATCCTTACTTTATCGTAATTAAAATCCAGTCATTGTAGAAGTTTGCAATAGGTATCCACCATTCATCCATACAATCATTTTATACATAATGCACCATAAACCCTTACAGATACCCAAACAGATAGATTACAGTGATTTCCACTCTTTAAATCGTATTTGAACACAGTAAATATTATATGTAGGGGATAATTGACATAATTTGTCCGTGACTGTTTATTTCACAATTACAATGTAGTTGAACCTTGTTTCTCAGTATAACCTGCTACACATTTGTTGTAAAAAATCCCGATAAGTATGACTTGACAAAATTCATATGTTGCATAAATGACCTTCACATTTCGTGTACAGCATCAGCACATGAATTTTTCAATAAAATAGCAAATGTTTTTTTGTCTCCAGTGTCAAGTGTCTAGGTGAAACAAAAGATATTAGGTTTGAAAACAAGTGCTGTGTTAAGAAGACTGCACTTGTTTGAAATGTAAACGAAGAATACTTGAGATTTAAGACAGTAGCATTTTATCAAATTTTTAGAGAGCCATTTATCCATTTGTTACAGACATTGGCTCAATACTTTTAGAATATGCATGGAAAGAGTATTGTAGCATAAATTAGGAATTTTATATGAGATACAATACAATGATTTGGAACAATTCAAATGAAATTGTCACAGTTTCTGTACTGTGTGATGCCATGTCTGATACATACATACATACATACTAACATTTGTATAGTGCCGATATCCAGCTCAGCTCAGCTGCTCAAAGGCGCTTTGTTTTTCCCTCGTTCACTGGATGTCAATCTCAACGGCACATCGTATTGTCAATCTCAACTCCCTGGGGATCATACAACTCTTGCAGCCTCTAGGCGCACCGAGTTAGTGTGGCATTCCCATCCTTACGAGGTACCCATTTACAGCTGGGTGGACTGGGACACATAGTCACAGTACTTTGTCCATGTTTACTGCACGTTGCTGTACCCGCAACTGGGTGTTTGCACGTATTCATGTGGCCACCATCTGGTCATATACCAACGGATTCGTGGGTTCTTTTAAGTGCTCAGGATTGTGTACCGTACACTAGGGGTTGTGACAACACTGATGCAAAATCAAGCACGACATTAATAATAATGAGAATTAATATGGCGCTTAATGCAACCACTAAATGGGTACTCAAAACGCTTATCCAAAGTAATGTTGAATTTGGAGTTGGATTTGAACACAGCAAAAGATGGAGACAGTTTTAAGGCAAGGGGCAGTTCATTCCACAGCGATGGAGCACAAGCACTGAAAGAACGCTTTCCATAAGAGGCCAGTCTATAAGAATGAGTTTTCAATAAGAATTTGCTTTTAGATCGCAGTTGTCTGGGTGGTTGAGAGTGGTTAGCAGTTCACTTAGATATTCTGGTGTCATGCTCTTTAGAATCTTGTATGTGATACAGAGTACTTAAAAGGCACAATGTCACACATTTTCGATAATATTTTGGCCTATATTATATATATTGGGCATATGCACTCACTTCAGCTTCCTGTTGATGAAATAAAAGACTTATTATCCCTTACGACTTGCCTGAAATTGATAATTAAAACTTTGTGGCAAACAGCTTCCAAAGAGATTACACTTGCCTTATATGGAATGTAACCAGTTGCTCCGTACATCGAAAACTGTTGCACGTGGTGTTGTAGGTGTTTGCCGAATTGGTTTCAATCACAAGTTGCGCGTGTATGTGAAAGTAAAGCAGGCCTACCTCTACCGTATTTGTAAACATTCGGCGCCATTTTGTCTAGGACTGAGTTCTGTCTCCAAAGGAGTCATAGGATATTCGTAAAGAGGGCTCCAAGGGACATAACTCTATGGGGCTCTCTTGAAATAATGTTCGGTCGGTAGAAGGCACGAGAGTCGATTTAATGCGATGTTTCATTAATTCATTCAAACTTCATATTTTAGGGGCGAATAAATTATATGGTAGCTTCCCTGAGGGCTGACATTTAGTATTATTGAGAGAAATGCATTATTTATTTTTAGAGAAGTGTGTGAAGTAGTGGCTTTAAACACTGTCCTCACCTCAACTGGAAGCCAGTGTAAAGACTTCAGTATCGGCGTAATGTGAGAGTACTTTGAAGCATGTGTAACGATTCTGTACTAATGTCTTGGCTGCATCAAGTGATATCAGATGACAAAGTTGACTAACACATCTGGGATGATAAAAACAGGTCTTGCACAAACTGTCAACTTGAGAATCCACACACAGCTCAGAGTAAAAAAAGACACTTTCAGAAAGTGATAAATACATGTATTTATTATTAAATGTATATGCACACATTATTATTAAGAATTGTCTTCATCATAGAATATTTGCTAGGTGCATGTTTTTCATACACATTTAATGATTTACTCGTCTTTTCTTCTATGATAAAATAAATTTATATTAACAAAAATTATATATTGTGGTGACAGAGCATTAAACTGTTAACGTTATTTCTGCAGGAAATACACCAAAAAATCTAACCCATACAATCTCCTTCTTTGGTGAAACCATACACCATTAATCTGATTGTTCTGTATAAAAGCAGCAATTTATTTTCATCTTTCATTGTATAATTATCAAGAGAAATAGTCAGATAATAGTGAGCAGGGAAAAGTCCTATGCTTGCAATATATTTGCTTGTTTTGAAATAGTCTTTTTGGTTTACGTTAGTTATACTAATGCCCAACAAATGCATGTGTTGTCCAAATTTAGATACGCAGTAAAACTACATAATTGTTTATCTGTTCAGGTCATTATTCAAGTGGTAAAACCAGTCATTTCATGCTCTGTCAAAGGAGCCTCAAAATTTGACTGACAAATTGAGATTTTGTATATTTTGAACGGAAAAAAACATTAGGATAGATGTATAGTAACCGGCATACTAATGTCATCTTAGTCTGACTTATGTCTTTAAACAAGCCATGACATCATTTAAACTGGTGTCATTTGATCAGTAATTTCATGACATTAGAAAAAAAAAATGGGCATCAACTGGGTTAAAGACTTTAGCTTCAGTAAGTAAATGGTAACTGATGTGAAGATTGTGTCATTATAAGTTTGGGTTTGGTAAAATTTAGTAGCACTTCAAAAATGGATATATATATAAATAGTACGTGTTGATGCCTTATTATAGGTCCTGTTAATGTGTGATGGTTCTGAGAGGCGCAAGATGAAGACAAAGTTATTGTAGTATAATAGTTGTAGCATTACTTTGAGGACTGTTTTTGACTGGGATGTCAAATTGTTGACATAAGAGCAGTGCCAGTCTAGTTTACTTTTTGTGTATTGTCCTGATTGGATATATTTGACACATCATGCCATTTATTATTGTTTGTTTCAGAAAAAAAATCAAAAGAGGCTGAACAAAAGATGCGTGAATTAGCACGCAAGGCTCGTCAAGAATATAAGGAATCATTGAAGAGGACAAATCAACTCTTACAGGCAGCAAGAGCATTTTCAGAAAGTGGTAAAGCAGTCAGTCACACTGAAAGACCACCTGTACCTCCAAAGTAAATGCCACTTATTCTTGTTCTACAAATTGCCAATTCCCTGCCTTTGTATGATCACATTAACACAGAGCCCAAAACATGGTTTTCTGTCTTATTTTTTTCCCCTTTGCAATGTCAACATTTTCACATTTTCACATTTCCAGAAGACTAAGTTATAAAAGTGAAGAAGAATAGTTAGAACCATAGCTGTTCCACGCCACTGTGGTGACTAGTGGATGTTCATCCAGTATTTGCACAGAGCTTTATCAAGTTGCTGTCATCTGGACCATTTTCACCTTCCTGATGGCAGTCACCACTGCTAAGCCTACACAATGAAGTCACCTATTTTTCTATGGCAACTTCATTGCCTCACACTGCTGCAATGGTGCCTTCTGCTGTTGCTTTTAGCTACTTTACCACCATTGAGTGGGCCCAAGGCTGGCAGATATGTTCCGTGGCTGATAGGTTTATATTTCAACAGACCCTTGCAGTCTGCAGTTTGTTGTAAACACTAAACATGGGAAATGAATCACTACAGTGGTTTTATTTGTGAAACAGGGTCCATCTGCAGAGTATTTCACACATTAATTGGTCGCACTAACCATGAACTTACAGACACAAAGCACGGGAATGTTATGAGACAAGTTTATATGTTCTCTATGCAGCAGTCTAAGTAAACTTAGGCTCAGGAGTATTCGTTACACTGCTATACGGAGTCAGAACACAGCTTACCAAATCGCGAAACTTAACATTCGCGCATACTGTTTGAGCCTTTACCTAGAAAACTCGAACGATTCTGAATACTATTTTCTGCACGATCGCTTCCGAGTGATACGCATGGAGGACACAATGAGTAAACAGTCACTGAAAATAGCGTTTTTGTCAATATTCAAGGATGTCTTATGGAAATATAAGCTAATAGTAACCATGTCATTAGAAACCCCAAAGCATATATACTGCAGGTCAAATATGTGTGGTTTTTTCGCGGATTTTCGTTTGTTGATATATCAGTGTAAGCGACCAGGGAAGAGAAAATCAAAAAGACGTTTTGTAAGTCCCGCCGAACCCTAGCAAGTAGTCGTCTGATTGGTTAAACCAGTTCGGACATCTTGTGTTTGATTGGACGGTCATAGGTCGCTCAAAGGTTAGCTGAAGCGACCTTCTACTAGGGTTTGTAAGACTCAGTATAGCAGTGTAACAAATAATACTAAGTTTATTTAGACTGTCTATGCAGTGCAACAGGTAATGTTGACTAGTGTAAGTGACAAAGTTGAGTGTAGTCTCACAATTGTTTCGGTTGAAGAAACAATATTACAGATAGCTAGCTACCTCATCAGGCTTAAGACTTATTTGTATAGGTCACTGTTTACATTTTGAAAACAAAATGACAAACATAATGACAATACCTCCTCATGACTCATTCATGATATAATTTAAATAACAGTGTTATGGACATGTTTGGAAAGTAACAGGTTTCCACTTGGCATGTCAAGAAATACAACAACAGGACATTTCCTACAGCAGCATGCCCTATATGTTATATGGGTACTAGATAAGATGTATTTGCTTTTGTATGATGTTACAGAAAGCACCTAACAAACAGATCGTCTATAAAGAGATGGACCAACCGACCCTCTCGACCACCTGGTCGTGCAGCAGTTGTTGCCTGGTTCCAGCAGGAGGAAAAGCCCCGTGGTGCAGGTCTTGACACAAACAACAGAGTAGCAACATGGTTTCATGGTCAGTACGAACATTAATCGGCACCAAAACTTGATGGGATCACAGGGACCAGATTTAATAGATTTTTCCTTATCCTGACTCAATGTTATTGCTTTATCTCCCTTTCTTTCGAGGTTCAGTGGAAACCTCTGTTCCCTAATGAACAGTCTAAAAATAGCTCATCCCCAATGGGCCTGTCCAGCCTCTGGCGCCAATGTCCCACATGACCACAGACTGCATGTCACTCTCTCTATTTTCGCCCAACCGGACAGTTGGGTGGATTTCCTCTCATCCTTACACAAGCTACCGCTCGGTTTTCTTCGGCCATATATCCAAATTTATGCTTGTATATTCTTCCTATATCCTTTTTACATCATAACCATGGGTTATCATTATTAAAGTGCGGCTATTTAATTCTTAATTCCGACTTTGTCAGAGCAGTGTGTTCTGTGTATAGATACAGAATCTCTGTTCATTACCCACACCTTGTGTGCTTTTCATGTGTTAAACATAATTGCAATCAAACTTTAGGTGTAAGTTCTGTGCCCACTTAGGGGATTTAGAATTTACCAATTGTGTACTGGCCTTACAGTGTAAATGATGGGCGAAAAAGGCAGGAAAATCCAGGAAGTTGTCCCAGGCTGTCTCACCTAAAGTTAAGGCAATCAAGCACGTGGCTGAACATGAGTTCGTTCCTTTAGAGTCCCCTGAAGACAATATACTTTCACTTAATATTAATGTGGATTATTTTTAGTTGACTGTTGTGTTTCCCTCACGGGATTCTCATGTTGATTTTGTCAACAAAGATGTTGTAACAAAGTGCAGCTAATTGTAGAGAAAGTTCCCTTCGGGGAGATATCCAGCCTGCTGAAGCTTGCTAAGCAGAAGAAGACGTCCATTAGGAAGTCCTTGGGGAAGGTTACTGCTGCCTGTGTGGAAGTCGAAGATTTCTTCATATGAAGCAGATGATCTATCATTCACCGAGAGTCCATCGGTTTTAAAACCTGAAGTGGTGGTACTACAGTCGCCTCCAACGCAGATGGCTCAGAAGATGACTGGCGCGAGTGACCCAGACCTTCATTCAACTGCAGACCTTCACTCAACCACAGCCTCAAATCAGACAGCTCAGAAGATGACCTGCATGCAGATGCAGACCCAGACCTTCACACAGGCACAACTTTCAACGCAGACGACTCAGAAGACGACCTGCACCAGGCCCAGACCTTAACACAGCCGCAGCCTTCAACGCTGGCGACCTGCAGCAGGCCCAGACCTTCACTCAACTGCAGACCTTCACACAACCGCAGCATCAACACAGAGTGTTCAGAAGATGACCTGCACTCAGCCGCAGACCTTAACACTGCCGCAGCCTTCAACGCTGATGACCTGCAGCAGGCCCAGACCTTCACTCAACTGCAGACCTTCACACAACCGCAGCCTCAACACAGACTGTTCAGAAGATGACCTGCACTCAGCAGCAGACCTTAACACAGCCGCAGCCTTCAATGCTGACGACCTGCAGCAGGCCCAGACCTTCACTCAACTGCAGACCTTCACACAACCGCAGCCTCAACACAGACTGTTCAGAAGATGACCTGCACTCAGCCGCAGACGTTAACACAGCCGCAGCCTTCAACGCTGACGACCTGCAGCAGGCCCTGACCTTCACTCAACTGCAGACCTTCACACAACCGCAGCCTCAACACAGACTGTTCAGAAGATGACCTGCACTCAGCCGCAGACCTTAACACAGCCACAGACCTTAACACAGCCGCAGACCTTAACACAGCCGCAGCCTTCAATGCTGACGACTCAGGAGACGACCTGCAGCAGGCCCAGACCTTCACTCAACTGCAGACCTTCACACAGCCGCAACCTTCAATGCAAGTGGCTCAGAAGACGAAATTTTACTGAGTGGAGGATAGAAATCAAGCGGTGTTGGAAGATTGTGGAAGCGGCGTAAAATCGTCCATTGCGCCAAATATCATGGGGGCCAACCACATAGTGCACCAGTGACATCACAGGCATCCAGGGAGCTCATTGGACTAAGACAGAATGCAACGCCCATACATAGACATATTTTGTACCTTATCCTGCATTACTCCTTAATGCATTTACTGCTTTCCTTTGACAAGACGAAGCTGTGCGATGGAATCATCGAAGAGGAGTTGTTCCAACTAAGCGAGTCGCCATACTGCCATTGCACTGTGCCCACATGACCCGGAAAGTGCTGACGTCACATATCTTCACATTACTGCTTGTCACCAGCCTGACAGGCTGTGCGATTTTTTTGCTGGGATTTAACTTGCAACTTAACACGTTTTTCTGTGTTTTTCTTTTGTCGTTTTTTCCTTTTTGATAGTTTCTTCAAGAAACGGTTTGTGACTATTTATTTGAAGAGAAGTGTAATTGTGTCTTTCCCTGGTCTGCACGTTATTTATTTGCTTCATGTTTATATCGTGCTTCTGATTGTTCCATTTAACCATGTTGCATTCAGTGCACGCGAACACGGCCTCGTGTTCCGCTCTGGTTTTGCAGGTTTTATTCCTTGGTAGTCTTTTTATAAAGCTACTTTACCTATGTTCTGTTTATATACTACAATATTAGTTACTACATTGTATTTTTAACTTATTTAGTATATTGTTACAAGCATGTAGTTTTCCCTTACCCATGTGTTTGGTAGGCGGGAAATAATGGTTGTCTCTTTATTTGTGTGTGTTTTTCTTACACATTTTATTGGTTTTGGGCTTCTGCTTAGGTTGCAGATTTATGCTACGTTGTAGTTTTTTAGTTTAAACATATTTTATTCACAATGTGAAGAGCATCGGGGACAAGTTCTTACAACTTATTAAACCCCTCTCCAAAGATATTTACAATAACTAATTACATCACAAGCAATTATTAGAAACAGAGACAGAGAAAGACTGAAAGATAACAGGGGGAAATGCTATAATACAAAAGGTGTATAGAGAGAAGACTACTGGAATAGTTTAGATTTGCATATATATTGGTGTACATTTTTGAATATAATTTCATTTTTATGATTTGTCAGATCTGCAATGCCGTTTAAAATAACAGATAATGTAATCACAGAATTACTACCACATACATCTTGAATAGCTTTAAGCATGATCTTTCTATGTTGATTGTATAAAGAACATTCTAAGAAATAGTGGTGAGCATTTTCGTACGGGTTTCCACATGTGCAGGATGGATCAATGATTAGCCCTACTCTGTACAGATCGTAACTTAATCTACTAGCTTCATGATGTAGTTGAGTATGTAATATGTTAAATTTTCTAATACCGTAAGAAAAGTACAGTGGAGCTGAGTTATATGATGTTATTATGCTCGATTTAAACTTTGATAGTGAAGTACAATTTCTTACATCTGTAGATAAATTGTTCAACAATCTTATAGTCGATGGGAAGAACAACTCATGAGAATGTTTTATTCTTGTTCTTGGCAAGCAGATATTGCCTGAATTTCTTAGATTATATTGACTCCTGGAACCCACGAACTGAGGAATTATTTCTTTTAGGTAGATTGCTAGGAAACGACTCACGCTACAGGCATATTGGCGTAGGATGTCGGCTTCTCAGGACTATTTCCCCTGCTCCTGTGGAAGTGCAGGGTTCTTCACAGGAGACGTCACCAAAAAAAACAACACAACAACACCCCAAACCCCCACCCCCACCCCGACTCACGGCAATGTCTGGTTTGTCTTCCTCAGCGTCTTTTAGGGGATTGTCGACACCTTCCACTGCGTCTGTGACTCCGTCTGCTATGGCATCGACACTGGTTACTCTGACTCCGTCTACGTTCCCGGGGCCCTTGGTGTCATCTGTGATGTCTACTTCAGCGTCTGTGGCGCCTCCTACTTTACCTGCCGACCAGGGTGCGCCTACGACCCCTTACATGGATCCAGGTTGGATGCAGTCTTTTATACAGTCTATGTTTCAACAGAGGATGGCGCCTTCGGGGATCCCTCCATTTACTCCACATTTGGCGGTTGTACTGCCTCTGGCGACTGGGGTGCCTCTTCCTACGGCATGCCGTACCTCTATTACCAACTACACAGTCAGCACCACTTGTACCTGCCATGCCATTGGTACTTCCGGCGCCTCCTTCATCTGGGTCTCCTTCGACTCCACCGACGCATGTGGTGCCTTCAACAGTTACGGTTAGCGAGGCTCTACTTCTAGGGCTACCTCTTATCGCGATTGGGCTTCACCAGGCACCAGTTCACGCCATAGCAGGAAATCCTCTAAACAGAAGCGCCGATCAAGGAGTCGTTCTCCAGTCCGGAGGTCTTACGGATTCATCGGAAGGCGCGTTCATTCCGGACTCTGAGGACTCATCTCTGGAATTAAATACTCATTTAGGACTTCGACAAGTTGCGGATTGGATGGCGGATCGATTGTCTGAAGTGGCTCCTCCCCAGGTCCGGGCATTGACAAGAGGGACACTATTTGGTCAGACCCAACTTCTATCCCTCCGGATCTGCTGATTAAGGATTTGATAACGGCACTCCATCCATTAAGGCGCCACATTTTCATAGGCATGTTTTTCCTGTTCATGCGCTTGAGGTGGCAGTTTTGCCTCACTCGCTTGATGAGGACTTACATCGTATGACGGGCTCCTCTAAACCTGCAACGCTTTGTATGCTGGACACTCATTTAGCCTTTGTTGAGACGGAAATTCGTCGCTCCCTTAAACCTTTGTCAGCATTGGTTTCCTCTTCGAGGGCGATTACTCAGGATTTATCAGAAAACGATCCGAATCGTATTGACCATCTCCGCACTGTGATGACTTTTAAACAGAGGCAGATTGAGCATATGAGTAATCATTTGAAGGCGGCTTTAGTTGAAATCACATCTACTAGACGCCTGGGATATTTGGCTCTTTCAGACTGGGACTCTGAATTTAAACGCCGTTTGTTACGTCAGCCGTGGTCTGCTTCCTCCCTATTTAATGATGAAGTTTCTAGTACACACTCCCGTGTCTTTGCTTTCACCCGT